CAGGCCCAGGCAACTGCCTTGCTAAGGCTCTAGCTCTTATAGCGCGTGACGTCACAACGCGTACCCGATTGCTGCCAACCTAAACCAGACCGGCGAGGGAAATGTTGCGGGAAATATGCCTCTGTTGGGGTGATAGCTGCCCAGAGGCCGCGCCGTTGTTTAATTTCAATGTTTCGTCATTTATGTATGTTTATTGAACGGAAAATATCGGGGGCGATCGGGAAAGAAGTATAAGAGCGGAAAATGAGTATTTCAGGCAATTATATTACTAGAAAAATAAACAACAACAAATACAAATTTTTATCATGCAGAGTCAAATGATACATAGTACTTTTCAACTTCCTCACAGAGCTGGGTCTTATTAAGACCAGAGACTCTTTTAATTTTTCCTGATAGGAAGGCCTTCAACTCCATAACCTTCAAGCCTTGCAACTGTTGAAGAAAAGAAAAACGTTTTGTGGATTAGTAATTTTGCCAGTATTATCAAACACAGTCTGCAGTCTGTATAACATAATGAACTGTGGTATTAATCATACATACCATTCCCTTCTCATAACGAGCTTGAAGACTTGTATCCTTCACTCTAGAATTCAGTTGAGGAGTTTGCTAAAAAGTGCAGAATGGACTAGTGTTACGTTTTCTGTTGACTTTACAAATTGAAACAACGATATAAGTAATAATTAATAAATGTACTCACAACTGAACTGCTGGACCAGCTAGCCATTATTTTGCTTCTGGCACTTCCAGGTGTGGTCAATATTTGTAACTTCTGTATGCAGACAACAAAATATCGGAATTAGGTGAAATCTGATAAATTTGTGAATAAGTTAACAATTAATCTGTGAAAATGAAAGTTTTACGTACAGGCTGAGCTGGCATCCTAGAGCTAGCAGCAATGGGAGTTCTAGTGGACAATTGCTGCGGTAACATCAACAATAAAAAGGTTAATAAAGAGTGCAATAACATTTCAAAGTGAACATCAATTTCCCCTGTATACATACGTTGTTCCTCTTCTGTGGGGTTTGAGGGGTTTGGGGAAGTAGGAACAGCCCGGTTGGAGTTGCCATTGCAGCAGCAGGTCTTTGAGCTGAAACAAAAAATCAGATATGATCAGTATCAAACTGAATTCATCGACTTGATTTCAGTAGAAGAACATACTAAATACAATGATATGAAATTTGGTTCATGCTATCCAGATACGTTCAAAAGGTTTATAAATCTAACATCAAGCAGGCTATATTTAAATAATGAACCACTGTTATGAATGTCACTTATCTTGCAGAATATAGGAGACAATGACAACGAATTATCATGCATCCTCTGCTTTCCAGTCCCTCCAATATATGGTGCATTTGCAGGAAAAAAATTCCACCTAGAAAATAATTAATGACATGACATTTAATGAAGGACATATATGTGCATATGAAACCCCCTCCTTATAATTTCCCTGTCATGTTAATTAAATCTGACTACAAAATGATGTGCAAACCTGAAAAGAACGAATAAAGAGAGGAAATTTGTAGACATATGGTGGATGAGTTGCTATTATCAAGACACCA